GCATTAATCCGTGGTTTAGCGAACCAATTTAAATATCAGCGGCGCGCTCGACGCAATTTTATATCATTTCCGATATCATGTGCTTGTGTGGGTGGGTTTAACAGTGCGCCCGCCCCCCTTACCCCCACCATCACTTCTCCTCCACCTCGCCGGACCGTTACGCACCTCGACACGAGGATGCTACACAGCTAGCCGCCGGTTTTCGATACGACGTCGCGTCTTTCCACGACGGACGCACGTCGACGTTAACTCCGACGGCACCGTCGTCCGTCGGTCTTCTCGACACCCTCGTGTCGATCGTCGACACCACGACGGTCCCTTTCTTTCACGGGGCTCGCGTGTGATCGGCCGGTACGCGTAACGTCGTCACGACGTACTTGCGGTATATCCCGTGAAAGTGCACACGCGCATGCGCAACACAGCGCGCTTTCGTGCCAGCGCACGTGCGTGCGTGTGCATATACGGTACGCTGTGTGTACTGGGTGGGACGATATGCGCGGTTGTTTCTTAAACACTGGGTATTAACAACGTTGAATGCCGCACGATTTCATAGAGCAACGCATACAAAATGGTAGAAATATAATGTTGAATCATTCGATTGAGATGCGTTATTATTATTGCACGATCCTCTAGCTAAATGTCATCGCATTGGGTACCATTATTTATAATGCAGAAATGTTTTCAAATAATTGTCGTTTAATTAAGTGAACTATAGTAATTCAATTTCGTCGGGGGTCACCGGTGACCCCCACGGCATTCAACGTGTTAAACTTGTACACAGATTTTTAATGCATGATAGCTGACGAAGTTTCTATGAATAAACCTGATAGATTCGACTGCGCCATGTAGCTGGATGACGAGGGAAACCATCCCTTGTGTTCGGGATAGTTGGGGGAATCTTCAGAAATATTAGTTACACGAGTTAATTAACACTAGAACTACCAAGCAGTCAAGATGACTTTTCAAAATTGTTCTATAGAAACCCCAAGAGTGCATCTTTCATCACTGAAAATTTAGTTTCCGCATTGTTAAAACAATTTCTTTCGAAATTTCTTAGAGAAGGGTCTATTGTTTTTTCAATAATTGCAAAAGAAGAATTAGGAATGGGCCATTTTGACCCATTTGGTAGTTCTAGTGTTAATGCACGGCGATACGATTTCTCGCTCAATCCGTAGTCTTGACTACTAGTTCTGTTCTGTTTAACGTTCTTTCTGTGGGAGTTATAGACTAACCGCCTCGATTGTCTATTGGTTAGCTATACTCTAATCGTACTCAGTAATAAAGTGTCTTAAAAATGAACATTAGCAGATATTTTGCAGTTAGACACTGCTGGTCTTCTCAGTTTTCAATCACTATCTTCTGTAGATGTGCGAAACAAGTTGTAAACTGCAAAATTGGTTGACAGGTCTGGTACTTAGAAATTGCACCTTCGTTAGGGTGAAATTCAGATGTGCCTGCGTTTATGATTTACTAGACCCTTCTCAAACAATGTCTAAACTGTTTCTTATGCCCGATGGTTCTCAGTTTCTGTGATTATCCATGGAAAAAAGTTCCTAGTGATAATCACTTAGGACACCCCGTATACGGGCAACGGCGTCCGTGCAGCGCACCAGCTGTGGTCCGCTTTACGAGGGGCTGCGTGTGTGCGAAAGCGAGCGAGCGGGTACGTGCTCGCGTGCATACGCTCGATCCTCGTGTTCGTGCGCGAATCAGTGCGCACTCGAGTGCGTTTTGTCTGGCCGGCCAGCAGCACCGGTACGCAGTGCCGTAAAAGCGTCGCGTCGCTCGTCCGATCCACGGGACCCCGCGTCCAAGCGATTTCGACGCCGGGTTCGCAGCAACAAGTGACCCGACCCACCAACCTCTTCCACCCCGTGCCTGGGAAATCCAGGTTTTCGCAATACGTATCGATAATATTCAAACAATTCGATGGCAAGGTAATCCGCGAAAAGTACCGAGATTTTATGTGTTTCGCATCCATTTCCGATGCCGATACTTCTTAGCAGAGAAGTATGGAGGTATAAATATTGTACCGAATGAGCATACGCTTGAAGCTTCATGGAAATTGATACTTGACTATATATGTTTAATACATCATCGAAGTACTGATATCTATCTGATGTTACTCCGAAATTATTGATGTACACGGATCGAGATAGATGTGATCGGTCTTAGGAAAATGATCTTTAATACTACTTGGAAACAATAAAAAAATTTCTGGATGGTTGATATTGTTCAATTGGGTATTCTGATTTGCGGGTTGGAATACATAGTGTTGATGCAGTGTTACTTCGGTCACTGTTGGCGGGTTCCGCGTCCCCGAGACGTGTCCAGGAGCGATTCGTCGGGGTTGAACCGGTTCCCCCGTGCTCGTAGACGTTCCGTTGACGAATCGGCGTGGATCGATAATCGGCGGAACGCCAGCACCTAACGGTGCATCTCGACGCTCTCTACGACTGCACTGCCGTTCAAAGAGAGGTTATCAATGGCATAGTATGTGAGACCACCGTTGACTATACATACACTCTCTTCCTTTCTCTCTTTTTCTCTCTGCGGATGAATAAGTTATAGCCCGCGACGATGCTAGTAATCGGCTACTACAAAAACAGTATTGTTATGACTCGAGTAAGTGGATGACGTCAGTTATCACGGCCTCTTTCTTCGCTATTTATTGCTACTTAACGCGGGAGTAAATACTGCTTTACGATCCACCGCGTGCCACCGTTTTTCGCCTGCGGTTTTCTCTCTGTCTCTTCTGACCGGCAGCTTCTTATTGTACTCTGAATGTCTTGGCGTGACGCTTCATCTCACCGGTGGTAGCTAGTTCCATGTCGTTGGACTAATACGCTCAAGCTTCATCTGGTCTTTGAGAATTGCCGCGCGGTTCATATTCGGCTGCTTTATGGACGTAAGGAAAATCTTGCATCACCGATGAAAGAATCTTGGATCTCGTTCACTTGCTTGGAAAAGGATTTTCTATTTGAACCTCTGCCATCTTCGTGTTCATAGTACATTGGTTTTCAAGTAGATGCTTGGCTTTGTTTCCGAACATTCATTTCGGTTTTGGGAATCTTTTGGTGTGAGAAGTTCTTATAGTAAAAGGATTCTGATCCATCAAATTACCGTTGTCTTTTGATTCCCAGAAACTTTCATTTTCTGGATTCGAAAAGGTTTGTTCTATAAGTGCTTTTGAAATGACTGTCTAGACTACTTAAATCTTTTCGCTGCCAAGTATGCAGTAGTGATTCTAATTAGTTTCAATATTCCACAAATGAAACAAGAAAACAAACGAAGAAGCACTTATATTCTTCTCGGTTTCAGATAACAATAAAAAGTTTCTTAGGCCATTGAAACATCTTTTGGCTCAATTTCCTCGCTCCATCACGTCCCGGATCCTGTGACCCATGAACGTATGTATAATTAACTTGGAAGCCATTTTGAAAGAAGTTAAACTAAACACTGCGGCGAACTGCAGCAGCTGATTCAGACAAATTGCAGTATTTATAAACGTACTGATGCCAAAAACGTTAGTAACCTACATAGAAAAATCTCGGTAGAACAAATGTACGAAAAACAACTCGACGTAGCTCACCATTACAGGTGTGATGACTTTATTCACTATTGCTCCGAAAGACGTTATGACTTTTCCGGAATTCAAAGTTGGATCTCTGCTTCGCATCTTCGAACATAAATAAAGAACGCGTATATTAAGATTTCAATTGACTCGCACCTTTGAAAACGCATTAGTGTCGCCATTTCTTTAACAACTTCCCGAGAAAGCGTGTGTTCTTAACAATAGCGAAACAAGGAACCCGAAGCAACTCATTTCGACCCGTTCGGCAGTTCTAGCGTTAATGAACCGCGAAACGGGTCGAACCTTTCGGTTACTCGGAAGGATAATAGGCACAGGGCACCGAATCCGTCGAACACGCCGATGGCGGCATGCGCTCGGACGAGAGCGCGTGCATTCGTGCCGCGTGTACGAATCCGCTGGTTGTGTGCGTGTGCGTGGGACCTTGAATCAAGCAGCCTTTGTCGCGAGAGCCGAGCGGGCGCGGGTGCGCGCGCTCGCCACCACGAGGTCGGCGAAAGTGTACCCGAAGCTTTTTTGCTCGGAGCCGCCGCGAGAGAGGAGA